GATCTGAGACTCTTTAAAATGAAGAGGACCACGGCTTCGAGCCCGACGCAGTATTTCCACACATTCTTGATAATAGTAGAGTCTAGCGACAATGACCCGCGGCTTATCGCCTGACCTGTTTCCACCTGGAGAGCGATGGGCTCGGTCCACCAGTGGCTCTTTATCCATCTGTAGAACCTCTGCTAGCAGTTTAGCCACTGCTGAAGTGGAGCTGGATTCTGGTGTCTCAGGAACTCCAATAATCCTCACATTGCACCTTCTCATGCACCCTTTCATATCGTCACATTTCTTTTTGAGCCCATCGACTTCTTCTTTCAGTTCCAACACGGTGGTGCGCAGAGAAACAACCTCTTCGGACCAGGTTGACAAGCCGTCCTCCACCTCCTTAACGCTCTGTTTCACGTGGTCCAGATCTGCACGCAGTAGCATCGTGCTGTTAGTCACCTCAGCTCTCACCACTTGTAGCTCTCCTTTAATAAGAGTAAACTCTTCAGCCAAAGCCGCCTTTATTTCAGATTTGATCACAGCTGAGAGATCAGTTTTTATAGCTGCAAGAATGTCAGACTTCAAGGAGAGTGCGTCCGCCTCGCTGCAGGAGGGAGAGGAGGGCCCCAAATAGTCCGGTTTTAGCTGCAGTCTGCTCCGAGGCGGCGTCGGGCCTAACAGCCGCAGAGCTAGAATGTTTGCTTTTCCTCGAGTTTGTCGCCATTCTTCTACTCTTCCAGGCAAGAATCACTCAGGGGTCGAGTCCGGACGGACCAAATGTTCAAAACAGGAAGGACATTTAGTAGAGAACCACAAACAGAACAAGTCGGAGCGGGAGCCACGCGACACACGTCTCACTCCTCCGCCATCTTGCCCCGCCCCCGACGGGCAGCAACTCTAACCTCAGCGCTGGTGTATCTGCCTCAGTGTGTGAACACACACACACACACACACACACACACACACACACACACACACACACACACACACACACACTGCTGTGTCTCTGGACGTGTTCCCTCTGATGATGATCAGTTAATAATATATGTTTGTGGACTGGAACCATTTTAACTCATAATAATAATTAATAATCACACAGAAGAATTTGTTGTTTTTTCTTCACTTGAATTTAGATTTTATTAATTTTAAAACCTGAAAACTAGATTAGTTTTTATCATGAGTTACAGAAAGCCTGAAAGATGGATTTTCTTTGAGGTGGAGGCCTCTAATGTAGGAGAGCTCAGTCATCCAGGAGGGACTCAGAGTAGAGCCGCTGCTCCTCCACGTCCAGAGGAGCCAGTTGAGGTGGCTCGGGCATCTGGTTAGGATGCCTCCTGGACTCCTCCCTGGTGAGGTGTTCCGGGCATGTCCCACCGGAAGACCCAGGACACGCTGGAGGGACTATGTCTCTCGGCTGGCCTGGGAACACCTTGGAGTTCCCCCGGAGGAGC